AGCTGAAGAAGCTTCTTGGATGAGAAGCGAAACATCTTCAAAGAAAAACCAGAAAGTCCAGTTGCCTCTTGAAAAAACAGCTTTGGGACAAACATGAGCTGGATGACTGAGAATCTCCACAGACATTTGCCATTCCTTCACTTTTTTTGCTGCATTTTCTTGTTTATTCCACTTCTGAATTCTATTCATATCTGGGAAAATATTTATGTATTTTATTTACATACACATTCAATTATTGTTTGCCTGCAGAAACATGAATTTTATGGAAAACTCCATGAGAAAATTGTAGAACTGAACTATAAAAATATTTGTGTAATAAGAGATTTCAATGCAATTACAGATGCAAAACTTGATTATAGAAGCAGTAAAATAAGTAAAAAGGTAAGAAAACTTTACCAAAGACCTTCTTTAAAATGGTGAAGAAGTACGCATTCAAGACATATGGAGAGAAAGAAATCCCAAGAAAAATCAATACACACACTACTCAAATAGACACCAATCCTGGTCAAATTAGACATCATATGGATGCCACTGGAATTAAGTGCCAATGTGCAAGAAATAGAAATAGAACTGTGGTCGGATCACAATCCAGTTAAGGTTAAGTGGAAAGGACAAAAGAAAAAAGTGAGATGGGTGTTGAATCAATCCATATTAAATGATAAAGAATTCATACAAACAGTTGAAAAAGAAATGAACTTCTTCAAAGATAATAGAAAGGAAGACTTTCTATTGCAAAATGTACGGGATACAGCCAAGGCATATTTTATAAGCCATAACTTATATAGGAAGGAAAAATAAGGAAAATAAGCAACATCAAAAAGACATTAGAAAGGTAGTACAAAAGATTAGAAAATATAGCTACAGAAAGAACCACAAAAAAGAATCTTAAAAACCAAATGGAACTAGTAAAACAAACTGAGTTTAACTGAAAAAGTAGAAGTGGCACAAAAAATGAAAAGGGCAAAGCAAAACTTCTTTGAAAATGCTAATAAACCAGGAAGGTGGCTGGCATACAAATTTAAAAAGGAGAAAGAAAAGAGACAGATATAATGTTTGGCAGATGAGAAGGCCATACTTCAGCACCAAAATGAAAATAAAAAGAAAATAATTTGGAATTACTATGAAAACCTATATGATCAAGAGAAAATCTCACAAGATAAAATAAAGCAATACTTGGAAGAAGCTAAGCTACCTAAAGTGCCTGAAACAGAACTATGTTAAATGAAAGGATAGCAATGTTTGAACTTAGAGGCAATTAAGAAACAACAACAAAACACCAGGGCCAGATGAGTTACCGTTGGAATTTTATAAATACTTACAAGACGCTCTACGACAGTCAATGTTGGAAGTCTGCAATGAAGTTTTGTTAGAAGCCAAGACTTGGATGGAAGCAAACATTACTCTTATACCAAAAGAAGATTCAGATTTAAGACAGGTCAAAAACTATAGGCCAATTTTGTTACTAAACATGGACTATAAAATATATGCATCAATAATAGCAGAAAGATTGAACAGATTTCTGAATGAGTTTATACACCCAGATCAGAATGGGTTTTTACCTAAAAGACAAATCAAAAATAATATGAGGATTATTTTGAATATATTGGAATACTAATGAAGCACATCCTGAAAAGCAAATAGCGTTTATCTTCCTATATGCACAGAAAGCATTTGATAATATAAACTGGCAATTTATATTACCACAATTAAAATATATAGAATTAGATGAAAAATTTACCAATATGATCAAGATGATTTACTTTAAACAGACTGCAAAAGTTATTGTAAATGGTGACATGACAGAGAATTTCAATATTAAAAAAGACACACGGCAAGGATGTCCCTTGTCCCCATTACTATTTATTTTGACACTGGAAGTGCTAAATGGAAATATCAGACAGGATATAGAAATAAAAGGGATGGAAACAAAAAAGTAAACATACAAATTACAGGCATTTGCAGATAACCTAGTATTTATTTTAGATGAATCACAAGAATCATCCACACTAATAAAAAAAAAATAGAAGCCTATGTTGAAGTTTCAGGACTGAAAATAAAGAGAAAACCAAAATACTAGTTAAAATATTGCAGACAAACAGAAAAAAGATCTAATGAAGAAAATAGATATCCAGATAGTGAAGAAAGTTAAATATTTGGGAATTCAACTATCAGATGTGTAACTATAAAAGAAGATAATTATTCCAAATTAATACAACAAATTAAACTAGATTTGGAAAAGTGGAAAAGCCTTCAACTATCACTGATAGGAAGAATAGCTACCATTAAAATGAACATTTTGCCAAGATTACTACGTATATTTGTTCCAAACAATTCCAATAAAGTTGGGGAGAAAATGTTTTGGGAAACTAAATAGATTAACATCAAAATTTATTTGGCAAGGGAAAAAAGCTAGAATAAGTTTGAAATTTTACAAGTCTAAACATAGAGGAGGTTTTGGCTGCCAGATTGGGAGTTATATTACCAAGCATCTGCACTATGTGGCTGAAAGAATGGATAAATTTGAGACATAGATGACTATTAATTGTGGAGGACATGACGTGTAACTGGGATGGCATGTTTTCCTATGGTATGGGAAAAATAAAATACACAGTTACTTCCGAAGACACTATATTAGAAATGCATTACTGTCATTTTGCATGGGCAAAAATTAGATAAAAACATTATTTGAAAATACCAGTATAAATATTTATAAGATATAAAGGCATTCTGAATGAAAAAGCGGAACTTAAAAGTAAAAGGAACTGAAGGGATTGACTTAGCATGGTGGCTGCGGGGACAAATACAATCGAGACAAGAGAAAGATGCCAAAATATATGGTTTTTACAAAGAACTAACAGAATTAGATCAGATCCTAACAGGAACAGATGAAAAACTAATAAAAAATTTGCAACAATCTACTGAGCTTTAGAATGGAAGAAGAACAAGTAAAGGAAACGATGGTAGTGTGGGCCAAAAACTTTGGTTACTTGATAGAATTAGACAAATGGCAAAAACTGTGGGAGAGGAATTATACAGTAACAATGTCAACAGTATATAAAGAAAATGTATACAAAATGTTTTACAGATGGCACGTTCTGCCAGCAAGACTAGCTAAGATGTTAATGTTCTTAATGTCGGCTAAGTGCTGGAAATGTAACCAGGCACCAGCCTCATATTACCATATGTGGTGGACGTGCTCAAAGGCAAAAAAATACTGGACAAAAATACACACTTGGATAGAAAAAAAAATGATAAAAGTATACATAGACTTAAAATTGGAAAGATTTCTGTTGGGTATCATACCAGAAGAATATAATAAGGGAATATGTACATGTATTAACAGTGGCTAGAATTGCATTTGTGCAACACTGGAAGAACATAGAGATTCCACAGAAGAGAATGTAATAAAAAAATATTAGTACGTGCAGAAATGAATAGACTAACACTTAAAATTAAAGATAAGGAAGTCATTGAATATTTTTAATATGGGATTCATTTTATCAATGGTTAACAAGCAGAAACAGAAGTTAGATTAAAAAAAATATAAGAGAATGACTAATTTTGTAAAAATGGCTCACCAAATGGATATGTAAGCACTACTGACATATGTTTATTATTAATGCTACTGTTATTATATGTTTAATACTAATATTAAGAACACTATTGTTATCATGATTATGATTATTGCTTAAATTAATTGTACCCAGACAACACACTGTTTATATAGACACTGAAATTTTTGCTCTTTCTATATTTAATAAAAATAAAAACATTGAAAACAATGATTGTTTACCTGTAATCACACAAGATGACTTTATAGAAAGGTTCCTATGTAGAGAGGGTGATCCTTCATTGATTGGGGACTGCCCACAGTTGGTTATAAAGTTAACAGCTATATAAATGTATTAAATAAGTAAATAAATGTGTCAGCTGTCATAACTTAATCAGTTAGAAAAGAAAGACTCGAAAATCCATTTTATCAAAAGTACAGCAAAGTGGTTACAATGTAACAAAGCCAGATCTAAACTTTCACATCCATGGCATCTGGTTAACTTTTCCATTTTTCCCCACTTCCCCCCTAGTTATCGCTGTGCAATTACATTCAAATGAATTGTTTTGGTAGCAGTCCCTGGCGTGATGTGACCTTGATGTGACCATGGAACAGCCAGTGGCTCTCACAGCACGTCAAAACGAGTATTTTTGATTCCCTTTATACTAACCCCTCACCTTATCCCACCCCACAGCTCCTTCCCCCATTGCATATGGCAGACTGGCATCTGGTGAAGCATGGCTGGTGCAGCAGCATGGCAGTCCTGACAATATGGTAGAATCCATTTCAAAGATTAGCACCAAGGATCTGAATAGATTAGCAGTTGAGCCCACAGCAAAATACATTTTTTTCAATTATTCCATTTAATATTTGTCAACAATTTACAATTTAGACCAGTGATAATTTCTAAGACATCTTCAGAGGAAGATGTATCAAAACATGAGTAACAGCTGATTAGTTAGAATAGTGAACAGTGAGGAGCTAAAACAATTTATCATTCAAAACTATTGTTTTTCTTTCAGCAACCTTCATTCTAGCAAGGATTTTCAATTTTCTTCCACATCTCCATGTAATTTATTTATTTCTAGTACAAAAGCAGAGCGGAGCACCCTATACATAGAAAAGCAGGCATAGTGGAATTGGAACACTCAATTTGGTGGGCACTCTGAATAAGAACATATCTTAACAGAAGTTTGGGGAATGGAACTTGCAGGACCTAAGACTAGGTTGAAAGTCACCCAACTTTACACTTAGTCTTTTTTATAGTCTCCTTCCTGCCCCTGTGAATAGTTTGACCTGAGTCCCTTCCTGTTGTCTTTATCCAGTTCCATTTGTGTATAAAACTGGACATTCCAGAAGAGACATTTTATCCAAGCAATGAGAATTCTGGAAACTTATCTACAGGGTAATAATATCTTCAATTCTTCAGTACCCATTCTCTCTTTGACAGGTTTTTTCTGAATACTTCAAGGAGCTGGAGGAAGAGAGCATCCGTGACAATTTTGTCATTGTGTATGAGCTACTGGATGAGCTGATGGACTTTGGGTTTCCTCAGACGACAGATAGTAAAATTTTGCAGGAGTAAGTAATCTGTTTACTTGTTCTTCAAGGATCTATATCTGTTTTTCTACTACTGCTCAGGATTTTAAAAACTATAAATGTTGCCATGAAACAAAATTCCAACGTACATAAAATTCTAGTTTTTAGTTTAGATATTCATACGTTTTTCAAAGATCACAGAAAGGGACTCTTAGATTTTATCTGCCAGACTTTCAATTTTAAAATTAGTTTTATCCTGGAAACAAACTTTTTCTCGTCACTATCTTTTTTTGTTTACTTCATTCTAGGTTTGCCAATAGTTCCACTTAGGTCTATCTGAACACAAATCAGAATTTGGGAGAACTTGGGAGCAACTTTGAAGCAAAATAGTTGAGAGGTCTCCCAGTCTCTTGGTAGCAGGCACACTCCTTTGCATTTATTCTTTTTAGTATTACCTTAATAAAAAAAACCACCTTTGTTATTGCTTTTAACTTTCTTTATGGTCCTAAATTCATGTTGTGCTCTAAGCTTTCTAATTATCTTTCTGCAGATATTAATGACTTATTAGTATCCCTCCTGGGTGATTACCAGAGGTGGTATTCAGCAGGTTCTGACCAGTTCTGGAGAACCAGTAGTGGAAATTTTGAATAGTTTAGAGAACTGGCAAATACCATTTTTGACTGGAGATTTTACAGTATCCTTCCCCTGCCATGCCCACCAAGCCACGCCCACAGAACTGGTAGTAAAAAAAATTGAATCCCACCACTGGTGATTATGCCCTATTTCATTTCCTGTAACTCTGAGTTCAGTCAAAACTCTCTATGCAACCACAATAATGTCTGCTTTGCTTTGTTATTGTTGGGGTGGAACATTATGAAATTGAACTTCTGCTATCTTATTTTCAATAAGTTGCCAATCATCCTAATCATCCTTTGACTTAATTCATTCCCATTTCAGTCCATGGGGTCCCATCTCCTGTTGGCTTTCTTGAAATCCTAATGTGTATATATAACTAGATTCTAGTTTTTGAATGTGAACCTTTAAATTTTTTGGTCAAATATGCAGGTATGTCTCAGCATTATATCTAGGAAGTATTCAGAGCGAGATCATTCTTAGTCCTACTAATAAGTAGGACATCTTACATTGGAAAATACATGCACCAGCACACCCCTCCCCTTCCTGCCCACCTGAAATGCTGTTGATATTTTGATGCTACTCTAGACCAGGGGTCGCCAACCTTTTGGATCTCAGGGGCCATGAAACTCATAATTTTAAATCCCAGGGACCACTAACCGGTTCTGTGGGCATGGCCTAATTTGTGGGTGTGGCTTGGTGGTCATGTGACTGGCTGGGCATGGCTTGTATGTAAATATTATAAATATTTATATAAACATTGAATTTTTTTTAAAAGAGCAACTTTTATCCAAAATCAGGCAAAACAGGCAGGCAGACTGAGTTGCTCAATCATTCAGTGATCTATCTGTCATTGGCTACCTGAGTCTGTCACATAAAATTTGCTTGCTGTGAGTCTTCACTGAATAATAGAACCTTCAGTCCTAAGGAAGGTTCTAAAGATTAGATAGAAAGTAAGAAATGCAATGATTTCCTGCTTTCTAGCTAATCTAAATCTCCCAGCACAGCAGAACAGCTGATGGCCGGGGGAAAAGAAAGGAAAAATAGCAACTTAGCAGGCAAATTTGCCAGGTAAGGAGCGAGTGGGCGGGGAGGGTTCCCACAGGCCATGTGGGCGGTTGTGTTTCTGCGCAGCCTAGATTAATTCCTTTGGGGGGGGGTACTCTGGAGATGACATTTTTCTGCGGACCACCAAAATTTTCCACTGGTTGGTGACCGCTGCTCTAGACAGCAAAATGTATCGGAGACAAGCTATACTGTAGTAGGATGTTTGATCAGGAAGAATTCTTTCACTGTATCATAGGTACATCACTCAGCAGAGCAACAAACTGGAGATAGCTAAATCTCGGGTTCCATCCACTGTCACCAATGCAGTCTCTTGGAGATCAGAGGGACTTAAATACAAGAAGAATGAGGTCTTCATTGATGTCATTGAATCTGTTAACCTGTTGGTGAGTCAGACTTAAAATTATTTGTGGTAGAAGATTATATAAATGAGGGTTTTAGAAGCTTCAGCATGATTGTAACAAGTCTAGAAAGCTATTTTAATGTGTGTAGGATACAAAAATAATGAACTTTGGATTTATGCCCTGAACATGGTGGCATATTTAAACACTAACAATATACACATTACACTTTTTCAACCTCAACTATCTTTATTAAATAATGTAAAATTTAATATAGATAAAAAATGAAATCTTATGTTATTTCATTAAGATAGTAAAGCTGACACACTTGAAAAAATGTAATCAGCATAGAATTTTAGAAGTATATTATACCTTAAAGCAATGGTTTTTAACTGAGCAACTGAAAACGCTATGAAGCAGATGAAGACTATCATTTTGGCAAAGGACAGAAAAATGGAAAAAGATCTCCGTTTTGCATCTTCATCTGTCCATCTGCCTTGTTTTATATATATACTGTGTGTGTGTGTGTGTGTGTGTGTGTGTGTGTGTGTGTGTGTGTGT